CATTCCAGAGGAGGGGATTTTATCGTGCGCGCTGTGTAGAAGAGACAAAATGATGGCAATTGCTTGCAGCAAAAGCACCACTTTGTCCTGGGACCCAGGACTAGGATGTACAACACCTAGCCTGTTTCAGATTGCTTCTAAATGCACCCGTTCGCCCACATTTTGACTTTATCTACAGATTGTCGCCATCGATATTGCATGCTACCGGACTAATGCATACATGCACCAACAAACCACCTGTCCCCGTCTTGCAGTAGTCCAATGCGAGGACAAAAAACATCGGGTGACCTGGGCGTCCCGGAGATTTTCCACACATACTTTACATGTTTACGCTTTTTTGTTCTAAGACCTTTAGATGCCTTTAGACAATTCCTTTCCCTTCTTCCTTTCTTTTCTGTCTCAGAGTGAGGCCATTCCACTTTCACTGACGTTCGCGATGCCTTCCGGCAAGAAGGTGGCACTCAAATGGAGATAAACTGAAAAAGGGGTTGAACACTCCCGACGACTCCCGAGAGCATTCATGCTGGGCATCGAACAACTGGTGACGTGGTGAGGGCCTGCTATTTGAGTTGCAATCAAATAAGCGTTCGTAAGTGTTAACACCTTCGAGTTCGAGACTAGTCAGTGTTGGATGCTAGTGTCGAAAGGCTTTCTTTCGTCGGGGTTCAAGTCCCAACCTGAGAGCAGCATCTTCTACACGATTATAGGAGAGACTGCCAGAGAGATGTATGAGTCTCCATCAACCATCTACTACAATCAGTGTTCAAGGAAATAAACCAATTTTTGTGTGCAATTTCCATCACACTGGGAACACAAACCATGTCAGCCCCGGTAACAAACCGCACCCCTGGGACAAAGAACACACCAGTTCCTGCTTCCATGATCCAGATTCATACACTGCTCTGATGCCATGCCTCATCATCATTTTGAAAGAACACATCATCCTATCAAAAATGACCATGAATGACACAGAAAGGAATATCATCTCAGAACTATATGATGAACCATGCACCTCTCGGAACATGTCCACTCAAGGGGGTGGCAATTTGATAGCATAAACGGGCCAGTTGCATCCTCAAAGATGACATCTTAGCCATGCAAGAGATTCAATTCCCTCAAAGGCAGTGAGACTTTTGGACAGTGAAAGTCAGAACTCCCGACCTCACGTGGAAGCGGTGGCACATTTGACCTGGGTAGAACTTTGGGTTGTGGCTTTTTGAGCCTACTAGTAACAAGCTACTAGTAGCAAGGCGCCTTACTACTAGTAACAACAAGCTACTAGCTCCTGGCATTACTACTAGGAACAAGTGCATCGCTACGAGTAGCATGAAGCAATCAAAGTACAAAGCGAGTTGAACGACCAATCGATCCGAAGTGAGTCGAGCTTCTCAGCTCAGCTTACGGAACGAACGAAGAAAACCACGCATAGACACATAGCTAACCCGAGCTTAGAACCGTGGTGATCCACTGGGTGAAGCACCTTGAGGAGGGTGACACATCTTGACACATGATCTGTCACTTTGCAAACTTTGACTCTCATTTTCCGGTTTAGTCTGGCACCGAATCCACCACTGGCGATATCAGGTGCAAAGTGGAAGGCCAAATGTGGTGCTAGCTCCTTGAGAAGACAGTTAGACTCCCAATCGTTTGATGTGCAAACGGCTTTTGTTTGTCTACAAGGCCAAGGGCAATCCAGCTCCAACACCCTGTGTTTGCAAATGAATTGTCAGGATCATGTGCTTGCAAATTTCATAGGGTATCGTCTCTGAGAATATTAATGTGGACAAGTTACTTTTTTTCAGGCAAACTGTGACTCCAAGTTGGGTCCTCCATTTCTTCTGTCTTTTGCAGTGCAGTGCTTAGCTCACCTGCACACTTCATTTGGACAAACCAAATTCATCCGATTACACCCAACTTCGGCTGCTCCAACAACTGCTTTGTGCTGCTTGTTGCGAGCTGCTAGTGCCATGAGCCCATATTCCTCAACATATATACCACAATCTTCTGCATGAGGTCATGGTTGCGAAAACAAAGGCTGTGACGAAAGCATATCTTGGTGCCTTTCCATGTCACATACAACTAGCGCAGCTTCTTGTCTTTGTACTGCCACCTGCTAGCTGCTGCTGCTCTGGGCTGAACCCGAGCTTATCCAGTTGCAGTTCCTCAGTCAATTTGATGATGCTTCAAATATCGAAACCCGGGCCATTCCAAGCTATTTGGATATTGGGGGACAAGCATGACAAGAATTTGGACACTCACACCAGCCTGTACATGCCCCTTCTCCAAAGCTGCTGTTAAGGGCGAACGCAAGTCCTGGATTAAAGCGTGAGATGGTGACAACGGTGACAACAAAGAAACTGACTCCTACGAGGCAAACCCTCGACCCTCTTCAGCCCTCCTCAGGCTACACAAGTCAATTCAAGTGACTTGAATCCTGTGATGTGCGGCGCAAGCTGCAACAAGCCTCTCGGAGCTGTTGACAAGCGTCGATTGAAATATCTGCAGCGTGCTGCCCCAAATTGCCCAAACTATGAGCTTCACACATATTGAAACATCTGAAAAAACCTATCGTTTTACAAACACAATTAATCCTTATACAATGTCGGTGATCAAGTGGCCAATACGGCATATCCAACCTCAAGGAGACGTTGGACGAATTCCCAATGTCCGCCATCCACCGCTAAACGCATGGCAGTCCTGGAGCCACGTCTTGCTATTGAAAGCCATGAAACGCCAGTTTGGATCTCTTGAACTTCCGAAGCGAGACTTGCAGGTAGGACAAAGGACCAACAAACTGACACCATTACAAACTCCGGTGCATCTTCCAACATCTCCCAAGCATGTAATTCAATCATGCATCTCCATCTCCATTCGACATGAGGGCCATCTTAGAAGGTCCGTCCTTCCCTTCGTCTCCACGGATGCAAGCGCCTGGAACTCTTCTGAATGGACAATTTGGGACTATCACTGTCAGGGCATGATGAGACTAGCGTGCAGAATTTTTATCCGTGCTGAGTTTAAGTGATTCAAGAGTTTTGTTTCACCTGGAAGGTGAGGCAAACGGATTCGCTTTTTGCCCTTGAAGTGCCTGTGGGATCCCTGCTGCGGCTGACCAACCTCTGGAAGGCCTCGTCAGCGGCTTTGCTCCGCACCCGTATCAGATTCCCGGAATGCATGTTCGGGCATGCTTGCACACATCGACACCCAGCTCACACCCGAATACATCTGCACAAAACACTAAAATAAACTTGAGAAGACATCGGATAAGAACTTATGTGAACAATTTACTGCATGTTGTTCATGTTTCTTCTGTAGTCCCACACGACCCAAAAAGGGACTCATTTTGTCTATCGTGTCCCCGTGCTTCAAAGCATCCAAAGCGTGGTGAAGCTCCGGTCCGGGGCCTGGCGCACGTTGGCTGCGCCCAAATGCGCCATGTTCGGTCTAAGCACCCTTGTTAGTAGCGATGCCGACCTTAATTTATGTCACTTTGTTTCACAGCATGTGCACGCCGTAACGGTGTTCACATCGTGTTTGTACACGGTGTTCACACCATTCGTCGCCTTGCCCTATCCCGTTCGGTTCTACACCGAAGTTCGCCTTCCCGCAACAATGCGACAACCCGCTGGGCAAGACTTCTTGCCATCACGGCCTGCAGCTCAAAAGAGAAATGTGTTTATTTAAATCTATTTCAATTGGATTATTATATATATATATATATTTTAAATATATTCATTTGTTTATAAACGATCTGTTCTGTAAATTTTGGTTTTGCACTGTAGTAGACTATATATCCATCATTAGGTCTCCATGATGTCGTGTGATTGTCCAACACCAAACGGTGTGGCATTTGCATTCAGCTTTCAACACAGCTCCCCTCCTGCGCTTCGGCGGAAAAAAGCCGTCCGATGCTTAGCACTGCTCTTGCCACACGCTTTGTGGGGTCCTCGACAAACTGTCGCTCGATCGCAGCATGCGTTTCTTAAATCTGCGCAGCTCCATGTCTCCTTTGCAGAAAAGAGCGGCACCTGCCCAGGAGCCACCGGAATGCTGAGCGGCTCGCTGATGACAAAGGCCTTTGGATCTTGGAGGTGTGCAGTTGCCCGAAACAAAGGCAGCGGCACACAAATGCTCTTAAAGTCTGCAATGAAGCAAAATCAAGCAAAGGACGTTGACATTTAAAGAGTACGAAAAAGAGATTCTCCTAAAACTGAATTCACTACATCACCACCATCCTTGCCTCACCTGTTACACAAGTCCAAAGTGCAGAACAACTCAAGCTCCAAATGTGTTTCTAATAGCTTCTTGTTACTAGTAGTAAGGCACTTGTTACTAGTAGCGATGCACTTGTTACTGTTGTAGGATTGATGAGGATCATGGTACATCACGTCTTTGAATCTCTAAGGCCGTCACACTGGACTTCACAAGCCCCGTCGTGATAACCTGCGACGTTGTGACAGGCAGGAACGCTCATTGACAGCATCAAGTTCGCCCTAGGCCCTAGACTCAACCGCTCGCAAAACTGCACAAATGCAAGCACATGCAATCCACTGCTGCCTTTTTCTCCAAATCAAACATAATGGAAAGCGTACAAAACGCAAGCTGTGCTACTGCTTGCTGTGCCAATGTGCACAGGCCACAGTCTAGCTTCGACAAACTGGCAATCGCTTAGTCTAAATCGCGAGGATATCTCGTGCGGAGACTCCGTGACTGTTGCGGTGACGGGAGAAATGACCCGAGGCCATTCAGAAGACGATGTTGACGAAACACGGGTCGGGAAGAGGTCACAACTCGTAGGAAGAGGTCACAACTCGTACATCCAGAGGTCAACTTTGGAGATCTGAGTCCGAAGAGTCCGAAGAGTCTTGAAGCATCTTGAAGTTTTTGAGATGCCCTCAGGTTCAGTGACGTCGACGGTGATCTTCTTCAATCCATTCACCTTTCGCCTTCTCGTCCATCTTCTCCTGCTCGTCCTTCCCACCCTTTTCTTTTTGGTCTCGTCACCTGCAAAGCTGCGAAACAACAGCATGCTGCATATGCTTGTGCTGTAAGGTTGTTCCAAAGTGAGTGCTTCGATCGATGTGTTTCAGTCGTTTCCATCTCCGCCTGGGGTCCACATGTACTCCCACTGTGCCATTGAAGGTTGGAACCAAGGCGTAGCCACCGGAGAGGCCGAAGGCCTAACGGAGCCCCGAAACGGTCGACGCCTGATTCGGTAACCAAAACCAGGAAACCAAAACCAAAAACATTTCCAAAAGAAGAAACTGATGACCCGGGTAGTAGTAGTAGTAGTAGTAGTAGTAGTAGTAGTAGTAGAAGTAGTAGTAGTAGTAGTAATAGTAATAGTAGTAGTAGTAGTAGATGGTGGTAGTGCCACCGATGCAAAACCTCTCCGCGAAGCAACAGGAGAAACGTTATTATCTTGGCCGTGATTCCCACCCACCCCACACTCCTCCTGCCGTCCGCCACTAATTCTTATTTGAATGAAAGTAAAAGCCCTTTGCATCCACATGGAACGTTATTATCTTGGCCATGATTCCCCCCCGCCCCACACTCCTCCTACCCT